AGCCAGCTGCTCAAGCTGACGCGAAGCCCTCAAGCACTGGACCTGCAGCCGCGGGTGCGGCTGCGGGTGCAGCTGCGACAGGCAGCACTGCGGCGGATTCTGACCCATTTGCTGCGATGGGCCCGAACGACGCCAAGGCTGATTTCGATGATGCATTTGCAAGCTTCACCAGCGCGCACAATAAGTCTGACAAATCCGGCGCTGACACAACCAAACCCTTCTCAGCTTTTGATTCTGAATTCCCACCAATCTCCGAGCTTGACCGCGACGACGATGACGACGATTCAGACACTGCCAGCGAGGGGGGCGGCTTTGATGATGACTTCGCCCCGGCGTCACCTCAAGCGAAGAAGACTGAGCCCCCAACGGAGCTCAAGGATGCCACTTCTCTGACTGCTCCGGTGGCTGCGGCTGCTCCTGCGACTGAGGACTCGGTTTCCCCCACGCCTATTCGCGACGCTACTACTACTGCTACAGCAGCACCTACTATTCCCGAGACATCGGAGGCTAGCGTTGCCCCAGTGCCCACGATTGCGCAACATCCGGAGCCCAAGGCTCAGTCTTCCTTTGACGATCTTGATGACGAGTTCGAAGGTCTGGAAGATGCCAAAGAGGGTTCTGCTGATGATGACTTCCAGACGATTTCTAGATCCGGTTTGGATGATTTCAACCCGGTCTTCGACAGCAGCCCGCCGCCCAGCCAAGCCAAGACGGAATCTACTGCGTTTGGACAAGAGAGCAGCTACGACTTTGGATCAGTATCACCAAACCCGGCCGCTAGTGGGAACTCTGGTGCGGCGTCAAAGGGCCCAGCAGCGGCTCCGGATGCACAGGACTGGGATGCCATCTTCGCCAGTCTCGACTCACCCAGTGACGCCAATGCAAACCCGACAACAAGTGCTCCTGCTCCTGCCCCTCCTGCAGAGGATACTCGACCAACCCCTGGCAGAGCCCTGACACACACGGGCGAGCATGATGATCCGATCTTAAAGAACCTCACCAGCATGGGCTATTCGAGAGAGGACTCCATTCTCGCCTTGGAAAAGTACGACTACAACTTAGAAAGGGTAAGTGGATTGAGAGTTCCTTTGAGGATTGCATGCATCACTCCTTGCGTATGTGACTAACTCTGTCAACAGGCCGCCAACTATCTCGCCAGCCAGTCGTGAAGATGGCAGAACACAATCGAGAAGAGAACAGATACGCAGTTTTATTTCCTTATGGGAGGCAAAGGGGCGTGAACCCCCATGATTGCAAGCGTCTTGTTTTACCCGCCTGGCCTGGAGATACCTGAATGTGTTTGGAAGTTATTCGGAAATCCCCTCAATCCCAACCCTCGTTACGCCAGGCCGCTCGATTCTCCCCTTGGATTATGGTGGGCCTCAGGCAATTAATGTGTATGTAGGATGTACATGTCGATTCAATACTAGCATAGCAATGTCACAACCCTTTTCTGATATGATTTTCCCCTGCTCACTGTCTCACTGCGTAATCCGCCGATTGCGCAAGTAGAGCCAATAAGATTGGACAAGGAATGGCTGCAAGACTGCTTGTTTGGGTGTGAGCATGCTCCTCTTGGATGCTGTACATGAAGTTCGGACAGTTGCATTCTTCTTATTGCGGGTTGTGAATATTCGTGCAGCTAGTTTACTTTCTTGTTGATTGTTTGTTCCATTGAAGGAACTTGCTTGACTCTGAAAGCTGTGAACAAAAGACAAAATGCCCAAGTGCTTCCTCAGAGTGTCTATGTCTCCAGCTTAAAATTTCATCCATCACTCTTCATGATGGGAAGAAAGGCAAGAGAAAAAAACAGTACGTCCAGAACGTAACCATCCATATTTACATTCTCTTGGTGGGTAGAGAGCATCATTTCCACCTGCCATCCTCCAGATGGCTTCCGACATTCCTTGCGTGCTCATTGTCCTCATCACTCGGGTTCGGTCGCCCCCTTTTGGAGACTTGCAAACCATTATTTGACTGCAGCTTGCAGTGTATATATAAACAATGCCGGAAAAGGCGGCCTTTCCTTACACCTCCACTTCGGATCTCCCTTCTTGCTCGATTTGTCCTCGCCGTCTTCGCCCTCGTCCATCACTTGACCTTGCCCATGATCGTCTCGGGGCCCCTGACAACGTCAATCTGCGCCGCTCTCGCCTTGACGGCGTTGAGCATGCTCCTCTCAAAGTCGTCGCGTGACCGCAGCACCGCCTCCACCCAGTTGACCTGCAGATCCCAGTACGCCGTCTTGAAAGCCTCAAACGTATCGGGGATGGCGTCCTTGTCGACCGTGATGAGCTGCAGAAAGTACTCGGTGACGCGCCATGTCTGCTTGACCGAGTTGCCGACATCGGGATTCGGCAGGGCGCTAAAGTACTCAAAGGCCGTCGAGATGTCGTTGAAGAGCTTGTCCTGCACTGGATCGGCCCGGCGAAACTTTGCGCCCTTGTTACGTACCGACGAGAGGTAGCGCACGAGGAGCTCGTCCGAAAAGATCTCGGTGAAGATATCGACGAGAGAGTGGTGGAGCACCTGGCGGTAGTCGCCCACGTACTCCTCAAACGTCACCACCATCTGCTTCATGGCCGTGCTCGTGTACCACTTGGGGGTGAAGAAATCTGCCATGACGAGCTTGAAGTCGACCGAGAAGATGAGCTGCACAAATTTCGTGATGCACCACGTGCTGAAGTCGATATAGCCGTCGCGCAGCAGCTCGACTTCTGTCTCTGCCCGCTCCATGTACGCCGGCGAAACGAGGGGCTCAAACTTTTGTTTAAAGTTGGAGAGGTAGCCGAACCTGTTCTCTTCTTCATTGTCGTCGACGCACGCAATCTGGTCGTTTGCTGTGGCGACGAGCCAATCTTGAAGGGGCTGGAATCCCTCAAGCTCTGGGACCTTCCCCGTCTCGAATCTGATAGCTTCCTCTTCGAGCATCTTCTGCCACGACTGCTGTCTACCGCGTAATCTCAAGAACATGGCGTCAATGACACCCTCAATGACGTCGATGCGCTTCGAGTTGGCCGCTGCGTCAATCTGCTCGCGCATCATGCGCCACATGTCGACGAGGTTCCTGGACCTGAAGTAGCCGTATTCGTCTTGGTCCAAGTTGGAGCCTTCGACGTTGCGCTCTGCAAAGTCCTTTTGTTCCGCATTGAAGATGCGCTCGATCCATTCGTCGAGGAACTTGATGATGAGCTGTCGGAAATCACGGACCAATTCCGTCTCCCTCGAGTCGATGACGTGGGGTGTGAGATCCTCCTGCTTGAAGCCGAGCTTCTTCATCTTCTTGTAGTACTTTTCCGGGTAGTTGATGATCTCCAACGTATTGGCAGAAGCTGCGTCTGGATCGTCAATCATCCCGGTGAGAAAGTCGTGCATCGTCTGATGGTATATATCGCCATACGCCTTGAGGATCTTCCACTTTTTGGGCATCAACGGCGTCATGCCCATCTTAACGGCATTCAGGTCGTTGAAATACCACTTAAGGATCTTGTCGAGCGCTGAAGGGTCGTCCAGGAATTCTCCTCTGGCTTCGTTAAACTGGCCCTCTACACTTATCTTGATGGCCTGTGTGAACTTGTCCTTGTACCCTCGCACCTTCTTTGCGCCGTCCGTGATGCTCTGGAAGCGTGTTGCCATCTCCTTGTGATCCTTGAGCGCCTCTTGTAGTGCTAGCACCCTCTGGTCACTCTTCTCTTCAGCCTCGATAACCACGGCGAATCGTACCACTAATCCATTGTTGTCGTTAACCACCAAGTTGATAAGATTCAGCGCTAGGATTCCAATGTGCTCGTCAAACCAGTCGATCATGGTGTCGAGCCTCTGGAAGTAGTCCTCGAGCGTCGATTCCAGGCTCGGGTCTTCCGCCCTCTGTATCTGTTCCATAGCATCGTCTCGAATATTTCTCAGCTGCGTCAACTCGTAGTGAATAGGCAGCAGGTTGGGCATGTTCTCCTTATCCCCCTCGTCCTCGTCCAGCATGCGGTCGACAATGGCGAGCCGCTCGTTAAACGTCTCGAGGTTCTTGCGCATGGCCTCGACAGCCCCGAAATTCCGGTGGGCCTGGGAGACGAGGTTGATGCTGTTGAAGTCTTTAATCATGTTCTGCGACTCGGAACATAGGCGGTCGATCTTAATCATCTCCTCCTTGATCAGCTGCACCGTCTTCTGGCCATCTGTCAAGCCCGTCATGCCAGACTGGGTGGTCTCGAGCTGCTCGCGCAGGCCGCTGCGGAGCTGGGAGTCGACGACTGTTTTCTTGCGAGAGAACTCCTGCTTCAGGCCGGCGATCTTCTCGAGATCATCTGGGTGGCGGAGGAGCTCCGCGAGCTTAGGGATGGGGGCATCCATGGTGGGCAGGCTCGAGGCAACTAGGTTTGGCTCGCCAGCTGTTGTCGGCTCGTATCACGAGGAATCTCGTCGATGAATGAATGACGATTTTTCTCTCGGTCGGCTCGGGTACCAGCTGCGCATTCGGTATGGAGGGCTCGGGGGTATTTTCACGGCGTAGTCATTAATCATGTCGTTGGTGGATGGTAGATGCTGGGCTGGGAGGTCATCGCATTGCATGCCGCGACTCGGTTTCGTGTACCTTGCGTGGGGGGTCCAATTCCCACCTCAAGTCTAGAGGCAGGGAAAGGGAGAGCTGGGGAACTTAGTTGGCCTGTGCGTTCCCGTCCCGCTGTGAGTGACTTCTGCAGCGGCCTGTGCACTTGAGTTGCCAGCACTGCAGCGAGCATCTCTATAACAATGGGTGAATGGCAAATGCACTAAAGTGTGATAAGAAAGTGTTTGTTTGTCCTTTGTTCTTTCAATAAGGTACCTAGTCAAAGTTCTTTTGCCTCAATTCTATGAACTTTGTGGTATTTTATCCAACTTTTGACTTCCTTAAAGATGCTGTCAATCCAAGAAAATGCCCCTTCGCTCAATGCCAAGGATGGAAAATACATGATACTTCCAAACTACAAACCAAATACGGACAGCGGGTGCAAAAGCCCATCATCTTATTCAACCATGGACTTCCCGATCTCACTCTGCCAACCTTCGGCCCTCTCAAACCCATTGGAGTGAGTTTGATAGTCCATCAGGGCCTGGTACACTTCGGCCTTGGAACTCAGGACAAAGGGGCCGTACTGCACGATCTCCTGGTCAAGAGGCGTCCCAGCAATGAGGACGAACCTCGCGTCCTTATCCGCACCGGCATCAACCTCGACGTTGACGATCTCGCCCTCTTCCTCGAACACTACATTGTGGAACTCGTCCACCACCCTCTTCTGCGTCCCCTCACCAAAGATGGCCTGTCCCTCGAGGGTGTACGCAAAAGTGTTCCACCCCTTGGGCACTGGCTGCGCGATCCGGCCGCCGGGCTTGATCTGAACATCCAAGATCCACACGGGCGTGTACGCCAGGTCTCGTACCGAGTCGACCCCGTGGCTCTGGCCCGAGATGACCTTGACGTGGACCTTACCGCCGTCGACGTCGACAGTGGGGATCTCCTTAGCCCGCAGATCGCGGTACCGCGGCTCGCAAGCTTTTAGGTGCTTGGGCAGGTCGACCCACAGCTGCAGACCGACGTTGGCGCTGCCATCCGGGTTCTGCTTGGGCATCTCGGCGTGCATGATGCCGCGGCCGGCCGTCATGAATTGCAGATCGCCGGCCTCGATGGTGCCCTTGTTGCCGGCAAAATCCTCATGGTCGACGCCGCCGTGGAGGAGGTAGGTGATTGTCTCCTGACCGCGGTGGGGGTGGTCCGGGAAGCCCGAGCCGGGGGCAATACGGAAGTGGTCTTGTAATCTCGTGTTAGCAAAGCTTGGACTGTACTGTCTAAGGAGGCTCAGCTTGAAGAAAAGTGAGCTGGTCTTGAGGGACTGATTAATAACTCACCAAGCATCAAAAATGGTGAAAAGTTCTTGAGCTGAGGCGTGCCGATGGAGCGACGAACGCGAGCACCAGCACCCTCAGCCTGTTCAACGGCCAGAAAGACTTTGCGGATCGCGCGAGGGACAGACATGTCGGTGGCGTAAAGGTGATGGTCTACTTGAGATTCTTGTTGCTGCGAAGACTTGGCTTCAAAGTCGAATACGTTTCCGTTCCCAATGTTGCTCAGGGAGTTGAACAAGCTCGTTGCTGTCGCGAATGCTACGCCCACTATGTATTCTCGAAAAGTTACAATCGATGCAATTCCAATAATGATGGATAGCCAGAATGAGAAGGACTTCATTGATGAGGGGCGGCGATCAGGGATGATATATGTAGGCGGATCGCTTTTCAGCGAGTCTAAGGATGAGAGTGAGGAGAATCAAGTGTAAGAATTCTAGAAAGGAGAAGATGAATCTATTTGACCAAGGACCTAGAGATATGTTGGTACTCTCCACATTGCAAATACTACTTTAGCTTCAGAAAAATGCGGCAAAGTGCGCAGCAACAGCATCGTCAGGAATCATATTATGCGCTTCTCTGGTAAGCAACGACGCATTAGTCAAATTTACATCAGCAAGGGAAAACCACGCCTCTTCAGTCTCGCGGCGCGAGCTTTGCCCACCATCTCCGCCAGGGTAGGGTACCTAGGCACGCGGGTGACAAAATCATCCGCCGCTTCTCTCAAGCTCTCTCTTTTTCCCAAGAGCCTATTCAGCACCGAATAAGGTCGGAAATACTACCTGAGTCTAGCGAAGAGGCTAAAGTGTTTTTTTATTTTATTTTTTGAACATTTTGAACTTAATTTATTAGGCCTGGTCGACGTAGAAGGGGCAGTTTTGGTTCAGAAGAGCGGCGAATGAATCTGTCACCCGCGTGCTAGGTACATCCTTAGCGTCTCGCTCTTCTCATTGAGTTCCTAGCTGATGATCTTTACGTCAGCAATTGAATACCAAGGGACGTGTGGACCTTCAGGAAGCTAAGGTACTACGTCCCTAAGGTCAGGTCGGGAAGCTGCAAACAGTTTGTTCGGTTGTTAACATGCTGGCCAATCACTGTGACCAATGACAGCACACGAGAGCCGCCAATCGGCAGCAAGCAACCTTCCCCAGTCGCTCTTTCTCCTCCCCAGGTCTTGCAGTGTGTTGATCTGATGTTGAGCGCGACTTATTGCTCGAGACTGCCCTCACAATCATGGAAAATAGAACATAGAGTTTGGATCACTCTTGGATGCTCCAACTCTGCACAATAGCTTTCGTATCTACGAAGACTCGGGCCTGTGCGGGTGAGCTCCCGTGCTACCTAGCTAGCATTTTGGTCTCACGCGGTGCTTACGTCACATACAACGGCAAGCTTGGTCAGAAGACACAGAGTGTCTATTAAGATTTTTGAATCCTATGAAAAATCCGATACCAACTCCAGCTCCAGCATAGGTTCAACCTTTCGGAAAAGATTACAACGTCCGCCGAAATTCAAGCCGTCTTTACCATGCCCATCAACCTTGAGGGAAGATCCAATCGGGCGCCTTGGCGGCCGCCATCAGCCCCGGAGGGAATAGCCCGAGTCCGATTGGTCTCTGGAAATGAAGGGCCGGAGCGGCGCACTAGATGCCTCTTCTCTCCACTCTCTCTTCCTCCCTCGTACACCACTGATTGGAACAGACAAAGGAAATCAGCATAGCACACAGAAACAGTACATGAAAAGCTCTTTATCCGAGGTATAGATTCCGTTCCTTGCTGCATGTCGTAGAAGCGTTCGCCATCATGACTGCGTTTCCGGAACCTGTAATTGGTTCAAGAATGCCGCGTAGGGAGGGAAGGGTATATGAAATGGATGGGGTTGAGGGAAAACATCAGCAAGCTAGACAATTACGAGCCATGGTGCTTAGTTGTTGACCTTCTCGTTGACCACGTCCTTGGCCTCCTCCTTCTTGTAGTGGATGACGTCGCCAACCCAAATAATGAGTTCACTGGTGGTGATAAGGGCGGTTCCGATAAGTGCCTTGCCGTATGCAACAACGTTCTCACTGCCGACCTTCTTCTTCTGCTGGCTGAACGTCTTCAGGACGTGGTCCTTGGCCTCGACGCCGGTGCGAATGGGCAGGGCAATGATGCCCTTGGCACCGGCATACAGCTCCTCGGTCGGCTTCTTGACGACGGGGAAGCGCTCGTCAACCTTGGTCAGGGCCTGGTCGCCGAGGTTGTCTGCCTTTTCGGCATAGGGGCGCAGGTATCCCCAAGGACGAGCGAAGTAAGGGAGAAGAGGCTCGGCAAAGGTCTTGTAGGCAGAGTCGCTGTAGACTAGTGACTTCTTGCCGACAGGGTGGTTCCTGAAGGTAACGACGCCGTCGTGTACTACAGGATAATCCAGGAAGTGCTATCCAAGACAATTAGTAAGAAGTTGCGATAAGAGTCAAAGTTCGGTTGCATTCATTGGTAACACACCTGGAGAGCAGCCGAGGGCACGCTCGGGAGGTCACCGTTGACTTGGGCCATTTTGGGCATTTAGTAGGTTGGCGGGAGTCGCGTGGGAAAGTCGAAGTTGTTAATTCGTCGAAGCGTGAAGCCCGGCGAATTCTGGTCGAGGGTTGGAGGAGTATTTGCTGCGGAGTAAGCTCGTGCGCAGGGGGGAGCTTGCGGCTTAGGAAAGCTGCGGTTGAGGCTCCGGGGTAGAGTCTCGTAGTAGATATAGAGAATTTGCTGAACGATCCAATATCAGAACTGATCAAGTCCAGAGCAGGGCGGGAAAGGCTAGGAGAGTGAAGCGAGTCGAGATATTTATTGGGCAGTAGCGTTGGGAGTGTAGGAAGATGGAAAGGGTTTTGGTTGTTGAAGAGGGAAGAATCAAGAGAAGGACGTATTGGAGGGAAGGGAAACGTAGCAGGTAAGTCAAAGCTAAAAGGGAGAGAGACAAGACGGGACGCACATGAGAGAGGCGTAGAAGGAGGAGGGCAAGAAGGGGAGTGAGTGTGAAAGGAGGAGGGAGACTCACAGATAGCAGCAGATGGGTGTTGGAGACCGAGAGGCGGCTGGAACGGAGAAGAGCGTGTACAGATGGGTGGTGACGAGGTTGACGCCACAGACGGGCATGGACTGAAATGAAAGTATTTATCTACGTCTTGGTCGAGACGACAGGACAGGACAGGTGAGAAGATGAGAGCATGAGAAAGAGCCCACCTCACCACGTCTTGTTGTATGGGGCTGGCCTAACCATGTTGCCTGAACCCCTTAGGATGCGAGACTAGATTGATTAGCATGTGCTTCAGACATCACAGGTCGAATGCGAGGAAAGGGACGCCCAGGAATGCCGTGGTGGCGGGTCCGGGCCAAGTATCCCTACCAACGAGGTACATGCGCCACATGCCAGTAGGATGTCGTCTTTTTTTTCTTTCTCGTTGGTCCCTCTTACTACCACTCTGTACCTAGCTGTTGTTCAAGCTATCTTCTGTACTCCTCTTCACAGACTCACTGCTACAATTTTGGGTCGCTGCTTGCCCTGTTCTAACAAGGCATTAATGAGTCAAAATTCCCTGCCTGCTCAATAATATCGTGGGGAGTTAATGACAATTGCCATAGTCAGGTGGATGTTCATGAGATAAGTAGGTAAGGCAAGTGAGGTAGCTAGCTGGTCAAGCCACATGCGATAGTACCTTGTACTGCTGACGGCAGCTTCCAAAGCACATATCCCTGTCCGTCCCGCCCGTGGGCAGCAAAACCCGCAGGGCAGGTGCGTGTGCACAAGCACCTTGTGTACTAAGGTAGCTATCTCTCATTGGGAGAAACAGCTTCAGCAGCAACTCTAGCAATAGGAAGAAAAAGGACGCAGCGGTAAGGATTGTCCAAGGTAGGATGGATAAATACATTTGGCAAGGCGAGCGATAGTTCTGTAGTATCAAACTTGTCTATAGCTGTAGCAAGCAACAACAACAGCAGCACCAGCACCAGCACCAGCAATGGCTTGCATGCGTCCCTATCGTGACCCCGGCTCCTGACATGTGAAAGTGGTACACGAACTCTCGCCCCGCCAAATCGTGTCAAAGTGGAATGCTGGAAGGGACGGAGAGAGTTAAAAATGAAGGCAAAAGAGGGTCTCGGCCGTGACAACTGGACAGGGCTCCTTTTATTATTTTTTCTCGTCATGTTGATCCTACGGTCAGCAGATAGGGACGTTAAACATATGATGCATCCCCATATCCCGTGGTTGAAAAACCGTATGCTCAAGGGCTTCGAAGGCAGGCATATGGTCTAGTCCAGACCAAAAGACGAAACGGGTGGTGAGGCCAAGGTGAGGAGGAAGAGGAGAAGAAGGAGGGTATTGGTACGTAAGCTCCCACACTCAAGCGGTCCCTTCACAGACTCGCGGTCGCAGCCGCGTTCCTGAGATGCTGAGGCGCTGTGTGCCCTGCGAATTGTTGGCAAATTCGGTTGCGTCTGGATCAGACCATTGATGATTGCAGTCCTTGAACGAATGACCGGAATCGCCCCCCTCCCCTCCCCCTCTCCTCCCCTTCCCTCCGGCACGGAAGACATACGCGAACGCACGGCGTTTTCCTGCATGCCGTGGTCGGGCCCGTCATTATGTCATCATTGGAGCTGATGGTGCAAGCAGCAAGTCAGCAGCAAGAAGGAAGCATGGGATGGGAGGGGAGGGGAGGATAGCTGCTCTTGCTCTTGCTCTTGCTCTTGCTCTTGAGGTAGGTGAGGTTACCTAGTTGTTGAGTACATAGGTAAGAAAGGTGCATAGGTACGGAGAACTGCCACACCGAAAGGGCGGCGGGAGAGGAAAGAAGCGCCCGGTCAACAAGTCGCTGCTCAACACGTATGCGTGCCTTATCTTACAGTTTGCCGGAGCACCCGCTGATCTGTGTCCCAGCGGACGGGTTACTTCCACCCACCATTGTGTCCAGTCTGTGAGTTGCGGCTTGCTGGGTCATGAATGAGATGAGGCGCTTTGAATGACATTTACCTCGAGTTGTCATGCATTATTCAGTCAGTCATCAGTGCTTCATTCGGAGGATGATCTCCGTGGTCACAATTCTCGTTCCCCCTTTCCACCTCTTGATACAGTATCTTGTCTCCTCAACCTAGCTCTGTCGTGTCTGTCTAATTTATCACATAGACATCTCGCGTCCCTACCTACCTCGCGGTTACGCTCTACAGAAACACCATCTCGAGTGTCAAGGAGGGGCAAGAGACCCCCAAGTTCCTCCCACAACCCAATTGGCCATGCGCCCACCCCGGCTTATCGCCTCACATCACCCCAAACTTTATCACGGGGAGATCCCAAGCCAACGGCTGGCGCTCGTCCTGCACCACCACGCCCTAGGCCCAAATAGCGGGACACAGTAAGCCAAGTTGGAGGGCGAGCTTCGCACTCGTTTTTCACCTCGAGGGAGCGAGGGAAGGGGGGGTCTCTTATTGCTTTCTACTCATCAAAAAATCCCTCCGTCGCGTACCGACTAGCCCAAGGTACCTGACCTGGCTAGGTAGCCTTGTGGCAGACGCTTGGGTGTGATGCTACGCGGTCCGGTCTTCAGCCCACTCGAGCTGGTGTGTGGCGGACTGTGGACCGTGGGAGGGGGAGGCCCGGGAGGGACCTCTCTGCGCCTCCGATCTTGTATTCCGTTGCTTGTGAAGCTGGCGCTGTTTTCTCCTTTGGAAGTCGATGTCCCTAAATTGGCCGTCTTCGTAATGCTGGTTGACGCCGTCGCTGCCCCCCAGGAATTAAATGTAACTTGACCCGTGACAAGCCAGTCGATACGCCAGTGACCCTTTCCAATCTCCATTTCTCTTCCGTGAAGCTATGGCATTTGCCATCTCTTGATGAGCACAGAAGCTAGATACTCAATTGCTCGAACCCGCCAGACGAAATTCGCCTCTCGGAGCTCGGACTATGGCCCCCCTTTTCAAGGCAAGCTGCCGCGGCTCTCATCGTCGACGATGCCGTCTTCGTCCAGCTTGGCCGGGTGAACAATCAAATGGCACCTCGGGAGCCAAGCATCGAGGACGACATGAACCCACCTGTCTGTACGCCGTCGCCACTTTCGTTAGGTCTCATCTCTCACCTGACTGGCCATCAACGCAACGACCCGTTTCTCGTCTTCCCATTACAAGCAATACTCGGCCGTTTTCTGCTCCTATCCGTCAAAGATAAACCTGAAAATCATCGGACAATTTTGACGTGGTAGGGGAAGCAAACCCCCCTGTCCCCTGATTGCGTTCCCTCAACTGTCCCCACCTGCACCAGCCACATGTGCCCACATTCACATGTCAAGCAATGTCTCACCTACCTGCAGGGACAACCTCAACGTTGAGAGCTCTTGCGTCCCATCCTGCATGCCAGTGAGAAGTGACGTGAACACCTGCGGCACCTTTGTCGCCAGTATGAGAAGCTGTAGATACTGGAAGGAACTGACGAAAGGTCGGATGACGCGGGAGCAAAAGCTTTTTTTTTTTTTTTTTTTTTTGGCTCTGCTGTCATGTTTTGCAATGCTGTTCGAATTCGTCATTCTGCCAGTCTGCGACAGATCGTCATGATCCCCAGGCGCGAACGCGCTCCAAACGTCACGGGCTAGCCGTTCAAGAGAGACATACTATCAAAGGCGTGCAGAGGCGGGAGCACTCGCCTCCCGTCCCATCCATCCCTTACGAAAGCGAGTAGGTAGGCATCCGTACACACACGCTTTCCTCCCATAGATATCGGACGGGTGTGGATGCCCCTGCATCCTGCGTAAGAACTCAGCATCTTGGAAGTGTGCCATCCATCTCAGTTGTTGAAAGGAACATTTGCTTCTGCAACGTAAGTGGGAAAAGAAGAAGAAAAAAGGACCATTTCGCCACCTCACTCGATGGAAATGCGGCGCTCCGCAAGTCCTGGCTGGGCTCGTCGGCCTTGGCTTTGCTTTGCATAGCCGAAAGGCCTTTTGACCGCTTCGGCTGACTGGCAAGTGGAAGTTGCGGCGGTCCGATATCGTTAACCCCGATACTCGGATTCTCGGGTCCCGCGAAAAGAGGGGGCAAGATCCGAAGGCTCCAGTTTGTATGCGAAATACGGCCCCGTAATATCTCCGCGTCCGATCCGTCCTGGCCGGGGATGGAACGAGGGAATTCCGGTTGCGGAAAATGCGCTGGAATCTGGCTTCGGAATAATTCGACAGAAGCCATATTGTTCCATAGGATACTTGTAACGTGTTTGAGCTCCGGCATAGAAGATGGTCTGAGTCAAAAAGGATGGCGGGTACGGTAAGTCCAATGGCATCGAAACTGGGAAAAGTTGACGGATCTCATTTTTGGGAAAACATCGCCTGAGAGAGTTGAGATTTCCGTTCGACACTGGACGAGGGTATCTTGGTTGAAGAATAAGCTCCTAGAGGCGGCCTTGCAATGGTTGGCTTCTTTGAATCTTTTCCTTAACAAAGAAAAGAGAGGCGCCACAAAATCGTAGGTAACCAAGGTGGCCTCATCAAGCTTCATAAGCTTTGCAAGCTTCGTCAACTAAAGACCTTTCAACCACAAGTTCGATCAAACTTGTGCCGCTACACGTGAAATTCTCTCCCGATATCCGCTAGTGACGTCGGCAAGTGGAATCGAAACGGCTTCGCCCGAAAAAAACAAGAGAACAGGTCCCTGTCTGAGAATAACTCGACGATATAAAGCGCCGTTTGCTCAGTTTCATTGTTTCGAAACATGAGACTAGATCTTTTGCCCAGAGCCAGCACGTGGACTTGACCACCCCCACCACGGAGCGGCCGTGGCTAGCAATGATGCCGTAGCTCCGTCGTTGAACCTTCCCAGACCAGCATAGCAGACCGTCCTGCCTTGGAATAGCATTGCGCCGTCCTCCCGGCCCACGAGTCTCGCCCCGTGTCGATCGCGCGGCTCGGCTGGCTGGGAAAGACGGTTGCCAAGCCTCGTGGAAACTCGCGGACAAGGCACGGATTCGGTATCTTGCGGAGACAGTATTCATGCTCCTACGGTAGGCCGTTTGGTCACAGTACTGTGCCCTCTCGGCTTGTTGTTGGTGCCTGTTGGGTTGGTTTGATCTCGTCAACATCCGAAACTTGAGCCAGCGAAGGCTTCAAGTCGAGATACGGAGCATAGTTGGACTTTGGCCGGGGATCCCGGAATTGCAACACGGGGTGATGTTGACAAAGGCTTCCGCAGGTGATAGATCACCCGCAATCGAAAAGGCCAAGAATCCGCGCAGCGTCGGAGCCTCAGAGACGACTCATGAGATACTCGCCCGAGGACGACGGGGCGTACTCGAACGAAGGAAGACGCTTCGTCGAGAAACGAGTCGAATTTCTCGGGGCTCCTGGCGGCAGTCAATATTGATTTCCATACACCTCAGGACGGACTCGTCGCACGGCCCGTTCAGGAGATACGAAATGCTGACCTTGACTGTCAAAGTTCAATGGAACCACTATCACCTTTCCAAGAAATGACGGCTCACAGTTTCGAGGGACAGTGCGCCGAGACCTCATTTATCATGGGCTGAGGCATTTCGTATTGAGCGATTAGCAAGGCTTGGGCACAGTGTCCGTCTGTCCATGCTACCGGGGCCACCGGGAAGGGCGTGACCGTTGAAGTAGCTTCCATTGTGATGAAATTGCCACAAACGCAGTGTACTCGAGGAACTCGAGCTGCAAATGAAATTGCGCAAACGGGAACGTGACACACCATGATGCCCATCGCTGACTACGTCACAGTCACATTTCAGGATCAAGGCGTTGTAATGGCCTTGAGCTCTGAGGTTCTCGGTAGCAAGCCTCTCTCTAATCTCGTTTTACCGCGTTTGGGCCTTTTCCCTCTTTCTTTTTCTTCCATTCTCTCGTTTGACGAAGTGACGGCTCACTCGGGTAGGTACGTACCGAAAAGACCAGGGTTTCTCATCAACAACGGTGGCAGAGCCAAGGATGCGGATGGAGACTTTGACCCAATACCACTTTCACGGTCAGTGTTTGCAGCCTGCAGGAGGACTAGGTGGATTTGGGTAGGCTGTTTGCCCACATGTGGACTTTGGATCAAAGAGATCGAAACCAGCCTCAGATAGACAGAAGACAGGGATCGCCCGAGAGCCCGCTGTCGAACATTCAGCAGGATGGGGAGCTGGGAGTCTAGAACTGCTGCGTTGCTGTTGCTGTTGCTGTAACTGATCCTCAGTGAATCAGTGCGGTGCGTATGTACGAGATAAGACAGCGTTCAGGGTCTCGGGATTCATGCTCAGATCACGACAAGGTCCAGGTCAGTTCTTCGGTGGAACGCGCAGCTGACAAGTGCAAATTGATCTAGAGCTGGGCGGTACCAACAAGTTGCAACCACAAGAAAGAAGCCGGGCCACCACAAGTGGAAGAGAAAGAGGAGTGGAAGTCTTTCTTCTCAAGAAAGTGCACAATCCATCCCCCCTTTGGACGTTCTCCCAGCCCCTAGGACAGTAAACACCAAAGTCTCCGCCGTATAGCCAGGTAAAGTCGGAGCAACATGGAACTGGGCCTGTCTCCGGCCAGTGGGGGACCATCGTTCGGGTTACAGATCCACGGCTTGCGTTTTATGCGGACCATTAATACAGGTAGCCAGCCCTTAACACGGACGAGATATCTAAAGTCGCTGTGTGCTCCGGCCCCGAAGAGGGCCAGCCAGCGTCACCCAAACTGCCAGATTTTCCTGGTCTCCAGAGCGGCGGGTCAAAGCGCCCTGATGGATGTGGCGCCTTTCAGACAATGGCGGTAGTGCAAGTCGGGCCGCGTCTGCTGTAGATGACAGGCGGAGTTCGAGAATTCAGCAAAATGGGACGGCTCATTCAAACGATGATGCGTATGGCTGGCTTTGGTGGATATGCGGGCACCTCCAGTTCCAGGCCACGGGAGGCAGATTGACGTGCTGTGCTTCTGGAAGTGAAGGAGCAGGTTTCAATATATCTGGTACATTTAGATAAGTAAGCATACATCCATGGGTTCGAGGAAGCAAACCGCGCTCACCAACAGACAGCAGTGCCCCCTGCGAGGCTGCGATCACTTATTAAATTGGTACATACTAGTCCTTTTTAGTTCATGTCTCTGGAAAGATCCCGACGGGTGTTTGCGGTCCATCAAACACCTTGTTCAAATAGAGTGAGGAGCTCCCACTTTCGCAAAGATTGTACGCCATTTGTCGATGAGGCCCATTCGTTAGCGCGGCTGGCGCTTCGTTGATGTCCGGCGACAGAGTGTATGGATACTTTGCAGTTTGCACTGACTATTTCATGCCAAGCCCCAACAGCTTTGCCTCCACCAGGCGAAAGTCATAGGTAATTAGATCGCCGTTCATGTATCCATAAAGCAAGGCAGCATCGGGCTGGGTCGCGGGTCTTTCGGCGTGTTCTGCATCTTCTGCCCTCTGTCGTGACCCATTTCCCATAGCCTTCGTTCCGCAACCCGGCCTGCTTGATTTGAGATCTTTTTTCTCCGTCACGGAACCAAGGAGGCCCCTGATAGAAAATGCGAAGTCGCCGCGGATGAATCGCGTCGCGGAAGATACTGAACAGAGACTTGGTGCCATGAGACCAAGTCCCCGCCCCGGCAAGCCGCCCACTTCGGCCCCCGGGGCCTAGCGTTGATGCCATGGTTTTCTTGCACTATACGCCTCCTAAGGCCCGACGGCTCACAGCTGGCGGTCAGGCGTAGCGCTTGTGCTAGAGTATGTGCGACAGCTATCGCTAACAAAGTGATAGTGAAAAATGTCAGTATCCTTATATTAAGGTACCGCGTCTTGCTGGCACCGGCGGGACTCAGTCAACAGTGCAGCAACCCACACGGATCTGTCCCTTCGTCAAACACTCGAGCCTCTCTGTTTGTGTGGGATGTGCTGCAGGTGCGTCGATCCGGGTTCGTTGGTCGTGGACACCCCTTCAGCCAACCAGTCGAGGAGCGACCAGGACCTGTCGAGTTATCCCGTCCCAGACTCCAGGGACGACCCGTGCAAGGAGAGCGTGTCTTGGGGGGGATCAGAGATGGGGCTTGAGCGCTTCGGCAGATGATCTTTCTTGAGTTTGAATTCGTCATCCATCTGGAGAAGGCCCCTTGAGGGTTGCATTTTGTGCGCTTTATTTTGCAGGATGGCTGGTACGGCTGGTTGGAACAGTGGAAAGTTGGTATGTACGCCGCACGCTGGGTAACTTGGGTTCTCACGCCCGCTCAGATGCCTTTTCCCTCGGTGATTTGCGTGAGCGATAGAGTGCCATCGAAAGTGCAATATGGAGACGGGTCAAAGTCATGATTCGTTGTTGGAGGACATGGCACATGGTAACATGGACCTCGTGTCGGAAGGTCTGCCCAGCATGCTATGCGTGGAATTGCATAATCGTATCGAGCTGATGTTTAATGATCTCCCTGGCCAAAGAACAGGCGGATCAGCAGAGTGCTATTCCGTCCAAACTTTCGAGGTGTTCCTACCATTCAATAAAAAAAATTACCGTATCGCCGGTCTGTCCACCATGTACTCGGTGCGACGACACACCCCATTCGCTCGTCAGGCGAAAAGAAAGTATCCGTGAGCGGCGCGCCGGAGTACAGACCAGGGCGAGAGTGGGCGCGTCCCAAGAAGAGCGAGACGTGAAGGGTTTGGCGGATGGTAAGACGATGCCAGCACTGACAAAGAGGCTTCAGACCGGGGACGACAATCGTGACCCAAAGCAGATAGCTGTCATCGTTTTAGGCCCAATAAACCAGGGAACTGGTGTAATCGCCAATCATTCCGCGGGACTGTGGTGAGGAGGAGGCGACAGAATTTCCAAACGAGACTGGTCAATTTCTTTCGAGAGCAGTTGGTACTGAGCGGCGGCAGCAGTGATTGTCATTGGCTGTAAACCGTCGGTCCCCACCAGCCAAAGGTGGAGATCCAATATTAGGGGAACGACCAGGAAGGTCCAGATTTTGGCAGGGGTCTTTCTGGGTTTGACCGGGGTTTCCTCCCTCATCCACTTCTTCTTTGGAAGGAGAGGCCCGTGCGTGTGATGGATGGGACCTGACGAGAACATGCCTTACTCTTTAGTGTACGTACGGGGTACAGCAGAAGAAGACTGCCAGAAAGAAAATAATAAAAAGTACATTTGGTCACGACTCACCAGTCATTGAGAGGATTGGGGCGAACGAACACCAAAGGATGGAAGGGAAAAAAGGGAAGAAAAA